ACTATATTTTAAAAAATATTTGTCTGTATCTCAACACCCATTATCAGAGAAAAGGTGACACGCGAAAAATTTTTTTCTAGAGATCAAACAAGAAAGTGAAATATATTTGATTTTTTTATTCAAATGCCGATGTGCTTAGCCTAGCTCGCATGCCACAAATAAGGGGGTTTATTTGGTGCTGTCACTTCGACTTGAATCCAGCAGTGCTTGTTAAAATGGGTATACCTAAATTTCTACAAACCAGTTTGCTGGCTGTGCTACTTCAAGAAATTTCGAAAGCACCAGCTGAACAGTGCGATTGCAATGCATTATCGTTTTACATTGACTAATGGTGTACAAGGGGTAACGAAATACAGCACTTTGCATAATTTTCATAGTTGGCACAGATTGTATACTGTAAAACCCTGCTGTAAAACCCTGCAGTGTCTCTGCTTTCTGTGGAGGATTTCAAATATGTGGCCGCTTGTTTCCTCTAACCATTCACTGTCTTATACTGTTTGTGCGCCGAACGAAAAGAGTGGATGCATGTGCATGTAGCTTGTGAAAAACTATGCTATGCTGCACCACCCTTTGTTTCTCTCTCCATCTCGGAAGGTCAAAATTCTACCACCATCCTTGCTTCGTTTTTGTTTGAATGCCTAAGTTTTTCGCTCCGTACTGCAGGTAGCAAACAGAAGTGTCCTGATGAACTGTGCAGTGCTGACCACACAATCCCCAGAATTGATTGATTGATTTGTGGTGTTTAACGTCCCAAAACCACCATACGAATATGAGAGACGCCATAGTGGAGGACTTCAGAAATTTCGACCACCTTGGGTTCTTTAACGTGCACCCAAATCTGAGTACACGGGCCTACAACATTTCCGCCTCCATCGGAAATGCAGCCGCCACAGCCGGGATTTGATCCCGCTAGCTGTGGGTCAGCAGCCGAGTACCTTAGCCACTAGACCACCGTGGCGGGGCCACACAATCCAGAAGTTGGGTAAGCCAAGCATCCCATAAGAGGTGCTTATTCGGGTAGCAGAAATAAGCATCTGTGGCTAACTCAGAGGTAATGTACAAAGTTTCATTTAATGAAGAAAAGTGCTTTGAGCTAATGTTGTCAACGTGAAACTATTCCGAAATGAGGTGAGGGTATACAGAGTACTATCAGATGGTATGCTACCTACCAACTGAACAATGATTCATGCCAAAGTGTTAATTAAGTGCAACTTTTATTTGAGGGAGAAGTGCAATGGTTTCTATAAATGAGCATAGCTGGAAGTTGCTGCACAACCAGTCCCTGTGTTCTTAAACTCATTAATATGTGGCCCTTATTCATGTGACATCTCACTAAGATAAAATTGCTTCACATAAACAACAGTAAAAAGGCTCTTTCTGGCTATTGAAAACTATTTTTATCAGAGATTTTAGTTCAATTAATTCACGATTTAGTAGAGTACTCTACATATTTGTCGTTTTGGCGAGTGCTTTTGATCCGGAAACGTGACTTGGTTTTGCAAAGATAATGTTCCCATTCTGTAGAACGGGCTACTGGCAAGTGGAATTTGGCAAAAACTTGCAAAACTTGATTGTTTCTTCCAGCAAACATTGTTATCTTTCTTGTATATGCATGCATCGTGTGAAGAATAGCGACCCACTTTGAAATTTACAACGTTATGATTCCTATTGTTGTAGTGACTTGCACAGTATTTACTGCATGCGATTTGTTTCAACCAAACAGAAACCTAGTTCTTACAATTTTTCGAGGTCAATGGCTAACTTTGCTGTGTATGTTCACGAGCACACTATCACCTGTCATGCTAAACAACAGGATTGAGTGATGTGCCTGATTCTTGCCCATGAATTTTATAGAATACCTGTAATGAACTCTTCTACTTGGCATAATTATTGACTATTCTCTGCACGTTCTATACATCTAGATATAAAAACAGGGAATGCAGATGGTAGCATTGAATATTATGATCGGATGCTTGCATACATGGCACAATCTCGCTGGTTCGGAAACTACTTGTGAGTGTACAGTTAAGTGACTGGTAGCCAGCAATACTGCATTGTTGCAGCTATTCGGACAATGGAGTTTTTTTCAGCTGCTCTCGTAATTCGAGCACATGTCGATCACATTCAGTGCGGTGCGACATAGCCACTGACTATAACCACTGACACGACATAACCACTGACACTGACTTGTTGCCAACATATCCTGCGAATGCCACCTACATAAATGAGAACACCTATATGCAACTCTATTTATAGTAAGTCGAAGTAAACTGTTTACACTAATTGATTCACATGTAGTTTGGGACATTTTCACATGTACAGATTGGCTCAACAAAAAGGAATTCAGCCTCGCCGCGGTGGTCTAGTGGCTAAGGTACTCGGCTGCTGACCCGCAGGTCACGGGTTCGAATCCCGGCTGTGGCAGCTGCATTTCCTATGGAGGCGGAAATGTTGTAGGCCCGTGGGCTCAGATTTGAGCGCACGTTAAATAACCCCAGGTGGTCGAAATTTCCAGAGCCCTCCACTACGGCGTCTATCATAATCTTGTGGTGGTTTCGGGACGTAAAACCCCACATATCAATCAACAAAAAGGAATACGAAAAATGAAGAAAGGGAGGATGTCGGGTGAACTTATAACGGGTAAATGTTTAGCGTTATTGGTGTAACACTTTCATAAAGTTCAGCGTAGCACGTATAATCAGGAGGACGAGACAGGCTTGTACATGTTTGGCCTGTCCCATCTTCGTCATTTCAGTGCCGCGATTACTTCTGCGAACATGTCATGTGCTCTTTGTGCCTGTGTTTGCTGCATACTCTATTCTTGTGTTTGTTTTGTAGAGTTTCGTTCAACTGGACGCCTGTTCAATTTGCTTTTCTGTACATACCAAACAGGTACTTTAGGGAGCTAGCCATGAGCGACTGCATTCAATCCACAAAATCATGCTACCTGTGTGAAACATACAGTACGTCGTAGTCATTCTATGAACCCTGTGTCTACTTGCAGATGAAGGTGTGCACAGAAACAAAATTAACAGCATGTCTAGCCAACAAAAATCTCCGTCAAGCACAACAAGTAATTCATTCACAAGTGCGCAGAACATAAACGAAATCTTTCATTTTTGTATTTTGCAAGCAGGCTGTATGGTATAGCTGTGGTACACAACCATTGTTTTACTATAAAGAAAATCTTCCGTACTGTATGGCAAAATACCAGCAGACTGCTCTGCGGCACAATACAAACATCTTTTGTATTAGTTGTGATAACGTATGGTATACTAAGAACGCCTTGCTTGAGGGTAATTGTCTTTTTTCGGTCACGGAATAAGGTCTGTCATTTGAACAGAGTGACGGATTGTCTTCTGTTAACTGTGCTCAGGCATGTATTTGGTGAAGAGGTTATGTCTTAAGAAAATAATTGTATTCTTTCTCACGGAATCGCCCGGCACCGTTATACCTTCTGCATTCTCCGTGAAGGAGGGTTGTTTAGTTTTGCAGTGTGGTTGCCACTTTTGATTTGAAGCTTTATATATTTTTATTGAACTGTGCGTGTGATTTTTTGTTAGCGCAACCCTCTACAGCGAGTATTATATTGTATAAGTTTTATATTTCCTAATTTTGATTATGTTTTTGTACTTTTGTCAGCTATGATGTTCTGTTGCCGCCACTGCTGTATGTGCACAGAGGGTGAGAACTTGGTCGAGCGGATAGTCGCTTTTATTCTCGCTCCCTCCATGAACTGCGTATTAGTGGAAATGAACAAGTGCTACTATTATGATGATTATCATTATTATATACTCACACCAATACACATTCAGCCCGACTTATGTTTTAGCGGACGTTTCACTTTGTTATACATACTGCTGTAGTGCAAAGATCATCCAGGTTATTTTTTCTTTTATTTCGACGTTCATAGTTTAGAAACGAATCTACCATTCGCTTCTGTGAGCAATAGTCGGCGTTTTTTTCTAGGCAGAACGATTGATCTCAGTAGCGAGTATACTTCCGCAGTTGATGGACAAGGTGCTAGTTTTCGACCAAAGAGAAGAAGGTCATGCTAATACTTGCCCAGTGTCAGAACTTTTACTGTGAAACAAATTTACCCTAAGGTTACATTAAGGCAAACATTAAGGATTCATGTCATGCTCAACCAGGTTTTTGTAAGTCCGAATGAGGCAAACAACTGCCCAGTTTGAGAGAAAATAGACTTGTAACTGCCTACATACTGTTGGTGCAATTTAAACCACAAGCCTTCACAAGACCCTTGGCATAACATTTGCTATGCCTGCCCTTCATTTTACGACCGCTGTACAGCTGCGAAATGAACTTCTAGTTGTTATGACTGTTTTTTCCATAGTGGTAACATTTTAGGTATAAATGAGCATATTCTCGCAATCAAGAAACCAGCCAAGGTTCATGTCGATCATGTATTCTGCGTAGTTTTCCAAAGGCCCGGCAATAGATTTTTCGATATCTGGCGGAAAGTACCATGCAGCGTGCCCTAAGATAAAACTGTTGACGTTTTCAGGGAAAAGTACAGATTGACAGACTTTTCAGGGTGAGGTCAATGTTTTGCTGGGCTCCTTGAAGGACTGTTGGGGTTTTACAATTTAGGTACGAGACCAGTTTAACCCGGAGTATTTTAAAAGGCACTAGTACGCAATGCCATTTTAAAATTTGTTCAGAAGTTTTTCAATAAATCAAGACATGAAACACAATAAACGTCTGCAATGAGCTTCAGACCAGATCGACAATACCCGTGAAAACTTGAGGCAAGGTCTCACGAATAAAAGGACACCAGATTTGTTGAGACAGGAAATCGTTCAGAGTCAAATGTTGCAAAGTTGCTCACTCTTCACAAGACCTCTGTAGTGGTCCAAACAATCAAGAAATACACACAAGGTGCAATTCCTTCCTCTGTACTCGAACGAATCGAATGGACAGACGCCTAATGTTACATTTGCAAAGATATTTATTTGCAACAGATGAGTACTGAAGGCAGATCCGTATTTAAAATCTTTTTATTGTGCATCTGGTTTCCACATAACAGGCATATTCACTGCATAGGGTAGTTTTGGCAAAGTACAGCCATTTTTATTGTAAGATATCATAAAAAAATGTCATTTCCTACATTTACAATGAAATCTAAAAAAAACTCCTTTTGCAGTCTGATTTCTCTCATGATATATTCTTAATAAAATAACAATAAAACTGACAGTTATACACTTAACATTCGCGATGCTGTGTCTGAAAAATAAAAGCAAACTGTAAAAAAGGCAGAGAAACCGCAGTAAAAACTAGCCAAAAACGCTTATTGTACATCACTCTCAATAATTGTTGTCCATAATGACTCAGTGATTGTGGTGCAATAAATATTAAACTTATTGCAAACTTGCATAAAAATTTAAGCGCAAATGTTCCGTCAACAGCTTTGTTTCAATTACTGGCATGCGAGGTTGAATGAAAGATTAATCTGCGCTCAAAGATACCAACCCGCGACGTGCACACAACTTGTATAGAGCATAAATCTGAGGCGGCAAAGCAGTGGAAACATTTAATAATTTGGTATGAAACAAGCAGAAATTGAAATTTGAAAGAACATAAAAACAAAACAAATACATGTCGGCAAAATCTGGATCGGGCAGCGCCTTTCACAGCGAGTCCTCGCTACTGGAACTCTCCCCTTCATTGAGCTGCGAAATAAAATATGGCGGTAATAAGAAAGTAACAAAGTGCATAGTTGAACAAGACAAGGGGTGCACATTAAGAGCTAGTGAGCGCGGAACAGTATGTTAAAAATGGGGCGCACTGAGATGAAGAAAACGTACAATCTTTCCAGAAAGGAAACTAACACACCCATTTGTTTAAATACCGTTTCCAATGCTCAGTTATACATTGGGTACTCTTCTCGGCAGTAGCAAGTGCATAGTAAGTGGTGGTGAAATATATAGGTAACTTATATATAATAAGTATGAACATCAATGCTGATAGGAATAGTGCGAGATCACTAGTGAATATTAGAGAGCGACAAGTGGCCACTACATTTCAGTAGGTCCTGACCATGAAATACAGTGCCAAATTCCGTAATTCTTTCTTTTTTCGCGGTGTGACTAGGATTTATATGTTTAGACCACGCCTAAAAGTAGAAAAAGTAATCATTTCTTGCAGTTTAACGGAAGTGACTTGAAACTGAATTATGGAAGCTTTAATATTTTGGTACGTAGTCTTGGGACTGGTATGTATGACAGCATTGAATGTAAAGTATATATATTACCCAGTCCCGTTCTATTTTGTGCTACTTTCAACGACGACAGGAGTTGCATGGTGAGAAACGGTCCTGTTGTCATGGCCGCCAGTGTACCACATCAAACCACGGCGCATGCGCATAGCGTGCACGCAGGCGCAGTGAACCAACGCGCTCGAATGCAAAGTGCTCTAACAATCACTGTTTGCAACGTTCAGCAAACGACTTCACAACCGCAGCAAATAGAAAATTCCGAATACAAATGGTTCGCGAGATTTTCCAATACTCAACTCACTGACCGGTTAGTCTTTCATTGCACTAAAGAAAGAAGAAATAAGCCTCATGAGCAAAACTCGACCTTCTACCCACTCTCTCTGTTCCCTTGAACTGAGCTCTCTCAGCGGCGTAGTGGCTGTTGCTATGGAAGGGAGAGGAAGGTTGGTTGCATGGTTTCCGTCTTGTCTTTTCGTGGCTGCTGCTGCTTGTTCAGGGATGGAGACCAGCGCCTTTCAATACGTTGCAACAACTCGACTTTATATACAGGAACTTATGTACAAATTTACAAGACTCTTCACCGTTGGAATCGTCGCATGTTGCCTCGGCCGCGCCGATAGTGCAGAGCACGGTTTGCTGCGACCAGAACGAGCGCAAGGGGACGGGAGCCTGATTTTAACCCCTCCTTTACCCCTCCCTATTCTTCTCACGGCCAACAAAAACAATTCAGTCCTTTTATTGTACAGACTAAACACACTTGTTGCAGTCCTCTCCTCTCGCTCTCTTATTCAGGCACTCGACCTCTCGGTAGGAGAGATAGAGAAGAAAAGACCGGCCTGCACACGACATTCCGCGAACTGTGCGAACGCACACAATGGTGCTGCCGTTCGGCTGCAGGCCCCTGCTATTACCGCGACATGGCTACGCTATCCAGCGTGACAGCCATCTCGCGGACTCAAATCAAGACGGATGGGTGCACCGGATGTCTTCCCGTTTCCAGGCGGCACTACGCTGGTCGGCGACCACCCAGCTGGTTGTTAAAAGCGGCGACCGACCGCAATCTTTTTACTGAAACGGGCGTCCTTATGCCGGGATTATCATTTCCCGAGATCCGCCTCCTTGGAAAGCACACCCTTTTGTGACAAAGAAGACTCACTCTCTTGCCTGCGACGCCATACCTTACACGCTCTTCCCAAGGTTTTATCGCAAGGACTCAAATGTAGCTTTGCGAGTAACAACAGCATAAAGAAATGACGCTGAACGTCACCAAGCCCTGCAGCCGCACTTTGCAGTTCTCTGAAAGCCAGAAGCATTTCGGCAACACGCGCAGTATTCTCTCTCTCTAATCCTTGAGACCCCACCGAAGGGTCGCCACCACAAAGCACCCCCCAAACAAAAAACGACACGAGGTCACTGTGTACATGTACAATAAATAAAGCAGGCAAATCAAAGAAAAACCAAACTCCTGCATGCATCTAGTCATACACATACGCAAAAAACACTTCACTGAAGCACACACACCCTTCCGCACATAGTGCTGTTCAAGTTAAACCCCGGATACCATAACTCCTGCATGCTTACACACAAGCCAAAAAAATACCCTTCACTGAGACACACACATTTGACGCATGGTGTTGTTCAAGTGTCTCCAGGTACGCGCGCGTCACTATTACCTAAAGGAGTGTCCACCCCGTGCCTAGTCCTCTAAGGTCTCAACCTCGGAGCACCGCTGCCGACTCCCCAGCACTCATTAGGCACCCTCGAGAGCACGTGTGCATTGCCACTCTCGACGGCTTTCCTGTGCTGCACCGCTACATGACACCATTGCAGCGCCAAGGCCCAACGGGTAGGCTTAGCTCCAGGAAGAGTGCTCTGGGTGAGAAAAGTTAGTGGGTTGTGGTCCGATACCACGGTGACCTGTGCGCCGAAGAGCCGGAAATCATACCTTCTCAGACCACAGATGACTGAAAAGGCCTCTTGCTCAATAGTCGACCAACGCGTTAGAGTTGGAGAGAACTTGTGGCTCGCAAATGTGATCGGCATCTCGGTACTATCCTCCGCATGTTGCGACAGGCAGACTCCAGCCGCGACCACGGACGCGTCTGTAGACAGCCAATACGGCCGCTCGGGATCTGGGGGTCGATAATGCTGCTGCCTCACACAGTGTGGTTTTAGGCCGCTGAAACGCCCTTTCAGCTTCCGCGGACCGCGAAATTTGGCTCGGGATTCGCTTCCCCGTTAGCTTGGTTAGGGGCCTCGCTACCTCCACGTAATCATTCACTTAGCTTCGGTAGTAGCCACACAGGCCCAGTACGCTGCGTAGTTCTCTTTTAGTTTCCGGCGCCTTTAACCTTTTAATCGCCGCAAACTTTTCAGGGTCGGGTGTATGCCGTCGCGAGCCTACTACATGTCCCAAATACCGGATCGATGAAAAAGCTATCAGACATTTATTCCTCTTGACCTTCTGGTTAACTCGCTTTAGGGTCTCAAACACCCACCCAAGGTGTTCCGCGTGCTACTCGAGCATTTCGCTAAAACAGCTATATCGTCCCGGTATGCACATCAGCGTCCGCTGTGTGGCCTTAGCAGTTCGTTCATTGCTCTCTGGAACGTTTGAGCAACGTTTTTAAGCCCAAAGGGCATTTACGTCTAGGCAAACTGTCCGCGATGAGACGCAAATGCTCTCAGCAGGCGCGAGGAAGACTTGAGAGGACCTGCCAATAACCTCTTTGCAGGTCCAGCAGCGTTATGTACTTCGCTTTCCCTACGCTCATTATGAGTTGTTGCTAATGGGCCATTGGATATGCGTCCGCCACAGTCCCCGCTTTCTATGCCCGAAAATCGACACACAGTCGCACGCTGCCGTCTTTCTTTGGAACGCACACCAGGGGATGGGCATGCGGTCTGTCGCACGGAAAGAACAACCCCAAGTCGAGCAGCTCCTCTTCCTGTCTCCGCACCTCGGCTTGTAAGCTTTTGGGTACCCTGTACCGATGCGGGCTCCTGTCGACGAACCCGTCTGGCAACCTTATCTCGTGTGGCCTTACTGCCGCTACCGTTGGCCTTCCACCGAACTGCTCCACATTCCTCCTGAACACTTCGCAGATAACCCCGCGTTCTCGTTGTACTAAATGGGCGACCATATCGCGCGCTAGATAAACTTCTGCACTACGCATTGCCACTGGCTGTGGAGCGCACTCTACGTCGCCAAAATCACCGTCCTCCTTGAACATTACTCCTACCAACATAACCCTGGTCTAATACGGGCGCAGCCTATTTGCGTGCACCAGATTCCGGTTACCTGCAGCCATCTGCACGAAGTATGATTGCTCGCGGTGTCTCTCAGTGATACTGAATGCCCCTTCTGATTTTGAAAACGTTTTCTAATTATTATTACGTTAAGTTTTTATTTGCGCAAGGGCATCTAAGGCCAAAGAGCGCCAGTACAAGTGGTTTCATTTCGGTTATTAGTTTAAAAATAAAACAAATGATGTGTAGCAAATATCTACGAACCATTTAAAACACAGTGCATTTAAAAGAATGTCACTTTGAAATAAAACTTCATTTCGTTTGCTAAAGTCTGTGATGATAAATTAGTCTGCAAGACCCAAGACCCTCGCAGCTGAAGTCCTTGCCTGAGCAAGAACTGCGAAGGCTCAGACATACTTTTTATGCACCAGGCGGTACCTCACGCTTGAAGCACAGCCTGGGGGATAGGATGGAATGATATCATGGTTGAAAATTTGACTTTCCCAATATAACAAAGAAGTCTCTTAAGGTCAACCACTTAATCAAGTGATAAAAACAGCGCTGGATGAAGTGCGATATGATATTGATAGAGCTCCCTGAAATGGGTCAGTCGTGCTTGGTGAAGCACAGGACATTGTATGAGGACATGCACAATGGTTAGACTCTCTCCACAGTGTATACATGTAGGTAGATCAGTGCCTCTCAAAAGTTGTGTATGTGTGGCATAAGTGTGGCCTATTCATAGCCGTGTTAGAGTGACTTTGGCTTGCCTGTTGAGTTTTTGTGGGATAACTTTTTTTCAGCTGGCGTTTTACAAGGTGGAGTTTGTTGTCGACTTCTCTGTCCCATTCAGCTTGCCAGTGGTTGCGTAGACCTCTACGTACAACAGGTTTTAGATCTACTCCCGGGACAGAGGTTATATCTATGGTTTGCCGACCAGTGGCTTCTCGTGCATTCTTGTCCACTATTTCATTGCCCGCAATTCCAGAATGACCTGGAATCCAGTAAATAACAATAGAAAGTTTTAGGTTGTAGGCTGCATAGATTTCGTTAAGGAGCTTGTTGAAAGTAGGGTTCTTGCTGTACTTGCCACAAGACAGGGCCCTGACAACACTTAAAGAGTCTGTCTACACTATAGACTTTTGTATCTTGCGTTGTTTAATGTGTTGTATTATAAGCAGGATACCATAGGCTTCCGCTGTGAAA